CTCTGTTAAACAGGTTAAAACACTTAGAACATTATGCTATGATGTATCTGCAACTGTATATAGATATATACAATATTTACACTGTGCARTATACATCCTATGGCACATAGGTATTTTGCATACATAATAAGATGCATTGTAATTATATAAACATCTACATATGTAGATATATACATATAGAGGGAGATAAGAAATCTATTCATTTCAAGTGCAGTWCATGGCATTTGAATGAAAATAACCTCTATGGAGTTGTTGCCCTCACAGATAGAAATGTCCTGCACAATTGTCAAAAAGGCAATACCAAGGCCTAAAATAAATGAGAACATTATGTCTCATGGTCTTTAGAACTCCATAAATTGACATACATGCATGTTTAATATGAGCTGTGTCACAGTCGCTTGCCTGCCCTGCTCTTACTAATGGGTCCTCCCTTAACACATGATACAGTAGGAAGTACTTTTTTCAGTTACTTTATGTTCCACAGGAGGCAAAGAGTTTTTGTGCAACTTCTGGGGGAAACTGAACTTTTTAAATGAGTAAATCAGTGACTTCCTGTGCCTCTAAAAATCAAATTATAGCGCTAAAATTCGGAACTTCTAATAACTCCCCTTCATTTACCCTGCCCCTACTTCTCTGCAGGGAAATGTTGCATTTTGCTTCCCACATTTCATAAGTTAAAAAAAAAACCACAGAAGTGCTCTGCATTTTTATTAGCACTCAGCTAAAGCTGCATTTTCACTTTGCATGGAATTGAAACTGCTTAAGCTCTTAGCTGGATGACAAGAAATTCCTAACATTAAAAAATAAAATAAAAAAAAAAAACCCAACCTTAGTCCAAAAGGAAAATGCTACATGTCTGTACAACTATTAAATTTCCAGTTTGTAGCCATAGACTGTGAGGGAGCACCTGTCAAAAATTGCAGGGTTGGGTGACTGGACATTGTGTTTTAGAAAAACTACTTGCAACCAAAACAAGTGGACACTAAGCATCTCATATTCCAGTGATGTGTACCAGGCATCTTCAAGCTTGGTTGCTTGAAGAAATCAACATTCACATGCCAACTTGTGCACACTCCTCCACATAATTTTCACCTTTTAGTATGCAGTTTCCCATGCCCTTACCATTATCCTTTTTGTCACGGTTTTGGTTCCTTTCCCCAAGCCCCATTCACTTAACAGACCTATCTTCCATAAAGTATTCACCTTAAGAGATTTGTCTGCTTACATTAGCACACAAGTGATTCTTAGTAAGATCTGAATCCTTGAAGCTATTAGCTGCAGAAATAAATCTCAAATAATAATTACTAAACTTCCATGTCAATTAACAACTTTTGTCCCCCTTCATGCAGCTTACAGTAAGAAGGAAAAAAAAAAAAAGGAACTTGAGCTTCTGCAATCTTTGTTGCTCATATGAATGTTACCCTTTCATAATGCATTTGTGTCCTAGCTGTTTAACCTCACGCTCTCTCGTTAGGGATTTGGAAGTTGCCTCCCTTTGGTGTTCAGATGAAGAGAAAGGAGACGGTGTAGATTACTGTTGTCTTGAGTGAGTTATGTCATGTTGCATTCTCCTCTGCACCTCAGCTGAGCCAGTGGGAACCACTTCTATGCCCCTTTCTTCTGCTACAGTTTGCAGTCTCTTCCAGCATCAAATCTGCCAGACCAGGACGCACAAAGAAAATGGTACGTTTAACTCTCATYTTTAATTTGCTCTTAGGTATCTTTGACTGAAATTGTTGTGGAAGTCTCTCTAGAACATATTCTGCTTTTATGTTTTCTAAATGGTCTGGTTTACTGTTATGGTTAGAAGCTGCAGTGCATCATGACCAGAAAGGGAAGGATTTATCTGTACTCCGATACTTTAGAATGAGTGTAATAATGTATTTTCTAYTTGCTGCAACTTCTGAGGTGTTTCTCTAGCCTTCCCCCTGTGAACTCTTTACATATGTAGGGAACCCCAGCAGAAAACTTTCTTTCAGAGACACATAGCTGTACTGTTGCTAAATATTTGAAGAATACCCTAAATCATTATGGATTAGTGCATGTGCCAGCTGAAATCAGATTAGTTACCTTTGAACTTCTGATAAAGCCAAGTGTAGATCACAAAGAGCAGCTCACATGCATACTTTAGCTGTGCTTTTAAAGAAGACTTTCCTTGCAAAGACATTGCATAAGGCAGAATTGCTTCTTACTCTTATTTAAAAGGCTTTTTATTGTTTCAGCTACTACAATGGACACAAGGTTTTACACATGCAAATAGCCWGATACAGCATCAGAATGTAACTTTGTGCAGTTAAAATAGCTAATGCATTAAAAGGATTATCAGAAGAGGGAAGGATATACAAAGAAATGAACACAAAGATGGTAGGAGCTAGGCTGGCTCTGCAACAACACAGGTTCCTAAAAATACTTCAGTGTGTGAGAGGTCAAAACCTGAGCATTGTAAAAGACTCAAGAAATCTTTTTTGGCTTAAGAAACCTACAGAAATATTCACTAARGTTTTCAAAGCCCAGAGACTTTACACCTCATTCCAGGTGCCTAAATGTGCAGCATTAGTCTCTATTTGGTGTGTAGCAAGCCAGAGCTCTTCCATACTCAGAGGCAAACAGCGCCTAAAGAAGGGTCTCTCGCTCTCTCTGTCTCTCTTCCTCTCCTCTTCCTCTCTTGAATGTCAGGGCAGCCTAGTTTAATACAAAAAATTGAGGAACTTGGGTAAGCACCTGAAATTAACGGTCTGAGTGCAGTGGCTGCGTTTGAGTTCATGCAGAAAGTTTGTGTCTTCAATGAAGACTGGAATCRTACCTTGCCCATGTCATGCTCTAATGCTTGGACAGAGTTTATTTTTATTTATCACATCTTTAAATGTTGACTCTAATGTAGCAATCTGGCAGAAAATAACCTCCCTTGCTTTCCACCTGGTCCTCAGGGATCAGAGGGGCTGGGTCTGTCTGGGCTTGATTTCTGATTTGAGCCAGTTTAGTACTTCTACCTCTGGTCAGGTTTCCAGATGCAGCAGTAATCTCAGTTACACTACAAGCCTCATGTGATTCGTGAACTGATCCACCAGTTGTGAGGATTACTGAGTCATGGCTGTAAGTCTGGTCAAATTCAATAAGAACTTTCAGGAACATAGATTCACCAATAGTGCAACTTATTGAATAATAGATACATACACTAGACTTGCAAAATACAAATGTACAGTGCTATGTAAGTGCTCCTGGTGCAAATCTTACAGAAGAAAAAAATCTAGTTTGGGGAAGAGAGAGAAATAAGCCCACTGACTTTGCAAAATGGTCGTATTCTCGTCCTCTGCTAATGAAGATTTCAAATGTCAATTAACACCTTTGGGAGAAGTGGAGGTGAGATTGTGGCAAAATATTCTCTTACTTCTGTCATTAATGGAGGACAGAAAGCAGCTGCTTATATGTAAATGAGGGATATTGAGAATAACAAAGACATTACAAAGCTTGCACAAGGAAAGTACAGAATTGTGACACTTTAGCATCACTTCCTCTTCTACCTGGCTGACTGAAGGACAAAGGGGTTGTCAGTTTATGCTTGGTAATGTAACCCTTCAGCATGCCATCATGCCCACAGTAATCCCTTAGCCACACGTCTCATGGCAATCCCTTTACCACATATATCACAGAGTATCTTATGGCTGTAGGCTTCATTCCTACACCTTCCTTGTTTTAAAGGAAGAAAGGCTGCTGGAGTTTGATGTGCAGTAGCTGCTGGCATTGCCATCTKTGACTGCAGTTTCTGTGTCCATATCTGGTGTCAGCCAGCACTTCGTGGTCTGCTGTGRTGTGCGTAGATGTGCAATAAATGGTACCCACGCAATGGAGAGATCTCTCTTGCAGTGCACAGAGTATTTATGCTTTCCCTACCAGCTCTCTAGTGTGCTACATGGGCATTGCCTTGGCTAATGATCTTGACCCTGGGCTCCACTGATCTGCTATAAAAGAGGGAGATAGGAAGTTGCTTTGACATCATGGGCCCTTTGGTTAGGATAGATACCCTTTGTGTTTCTATTAGTCTCATAACATCCTTACATGCAAAATATGCTATGTCCCGCAGGAAAAAAAAAGAAAGGAAATATCAGCATATGCCTCCTGAAATTTATAATCCTACACGCACTTCCATTCTCAGCCAGAGTGGGATGAGGA